TTGTGCCTACTGCAATCCTCTCGGAAATCTGAAAGGAATTCTAAAGATTCCATCAACACAAAAGAAGACACAATAGAGGGGGTCCCCCTTTCCCACATATCTTGCATCCTTGCATCATATGGAAGATCATGCACAAGAACAGCTACAAGTAATAGGGTGAACAGTGACAAAGGAATGCTATTGTTGCAGTTCATTTGAATAGCTTGTGGCTTGAATTCAGACTAGAGGTCTTGTGTGGTCTTGTGAAGGTCTTAAGTGGTCTCAACTACAGCAATGATCCGAAACACCTGTAGTTGTTCGTCTCAACCACATCTCTAGTTGAGATTTATAACCTTTCTGTTTTGTAAGTTTTGTTCTAACTCTCTAGCGAATCATTTACCCAAGCAATTGAGGTCTTTAATCTCCTTAGTTATTTTGTGTATGGTGTTGGCTGCCCAATTCAGTTCTAAGAAAGGGATTTCCAGATTATTGTGGTTGGGGGTTCCACTTCATAGCAACATCTGCATGTAAGATCGTCATCCACACTTTGACCCAACCAAGCATTATCATACCTGCCAACCATTCCGAATTACGATCTTTAGTCCCAAAATTATATTTTTTTCAAAATTTCTACATCTTACAATGGCTGGAGAAGATATTACTTGAAAACAGCTGGAGCGAAGGTTAACACATTGGGCTTGAAACTTCTAATAATTATGCTGGTGTAATACTGGATAGTGTAGCCGTTAAAATTATGTCTTCAACTCTATTGGTTTTGTGAAATGCGTTATGGGTACACATATGTACCTCAGACGGCAGGGGCATGCACGCGTGTACGACGAGACCGTTCTGTTTAGCGAGGAACACGATTTAATACACACGTACGTTCGGTCCCCATAGACTAGGGCCGTTTACCAATATTCAACTTCTGCTCCATGTCAGGCTTCAACTGTTTTTTATTTCTTGACTTTGAGGTTATAAGCGCAAAAGTAAGTCTGATAGTGCCACAAAACATCAAGTAAGATGCAAAAGAGCCAAACATAATAGTATTTCAGGTTAAGTTGAACACTTTAGGCCCACAGTCGAGGATTGGTTTATTACACGAAGCCTGAGACGAAGTTGAGTATTGGAAAACAGCTTATGTATGCATTTAGAATGTGTATTCACGCATGTGCAATAGTGATATAATGGTCGTCGGCCTGAAATTATTCTAGCTGACGACGTATATCGGTGGTGACCCATGTACGGGATTGTACTCCCATGTCTCTTGAAGACCTCATGTGTAAATAACTTGCTGAGATTCTATTAAATGGTGATATTTAATAGCTTCTGGTGAAAAAGATCGGGGGAAAAAATCAAAGAAAGTGGAAAATGTCAATTTATTGACGAAGTATAATTATGAAAAATTATCGTTTTTTACCTAGCTTTGTGTCTAATTTTCACAATTTTGCCAAGTTTACCTTCAAAACACTTTGATGCCACATGAAAGACTAATAACTCTTATGTACAAAAAAGGTTATTTCTTCTAGGAAGAAAACTGTTTTTGAAATTCACCTCGTTTTTCATTGGGACTCATTTTCATTATTTTCCGTGTTTTTCACCTACTTTAGTGCCCGATTTTCACACTTTTGTCGAATTCCCCTCAGATCATCTGATAATTTATCTAACTAAACTAATAAGACTAAACTAATAAGAATAAGACTAATAATCCATCAGTTAATATTTTTCAAGATTGAAAGCCATCGGCAGCTGTCAAAAATGAGATGTCTGGATTTTGGGCATGGTGCACATGTACGAACACAGACCTGGATATGAGTGCGTTTAGGTACGAGTTGGCCTTCTGCATTGCACAAATATGTACAATCACGCCAAATTGCCCCGACTAACAAAAACTCTCCGTTTTCATCCATATGGTTTCCTTCTTGCATGATACTTTCTCATTAGAGCGTTCATGATATTCCTCACTATTCTCTACTATTCAGTAGAGAAATGTCAGGGAAAACTTGGCAAAACTGAAAAAAATTCCCTCTAAAATGTTGGCTTCACTTCCAACTTCTGACTGTTACTTTGGAGGTACGTAAGAAAGACAGGCAAAAAATTGGCAGAAAAAGGATTTTTATCGCGTGCAAGTTATCGAAAGGAGCTTTGAGCGTTTAAATATTAGTCGGTCTGGAAATAAGGGCCAAACAGCTTTTTCTGAGCTTGATACTGATCAATTACTTTTGGGGTCCACCTGTCCAAGTCAAGAGCCATTTTACAGGCTTCTGGCTACAGTGGGATTCAGTACGCATGCGCACAAACTAAGTGAGGGGCATGGACATGCATGTACACAACCCATGCCCTCGCACATGGTGGATGATGTAATGAAAGCCACACTTTTTGACATTGCATGTGATTATCATGACAGCATGATTGTGTGGCCGTAAGCGATGCCGTTCGCCAACTGAAGACTTAGTTTCTACCTAGCTACCTCCATGGTTTCTGAGAAATCAAAATGAATGACACAAGTAAAGGACAGAAACGTATTCTGCAGAAGTAAGACACTTTCGCCATCAAAACTTGGAAAACGCCACGCACATTCTAACTTGTGTTTGACTGAGTTTAGTATAAGCCACGGCGGACTGAGCGACATTGAGATACAGTACATGTCAACACAAAAAAAGCACAAAACGACAGCCGAGGCTACACGTGGAAGATCGCTGACCAGTTTCTTAGCTACTACTTCCGATGTGAGTGTAATCAATGTTGAAGTGCTGATGACTGAGTTTATTATTGAACACAGCCTACCGCTAAATGTTGCCGATCATTGCAGAAAACTGTTTTGAAAGAGGTTCCCCGACTCACAGATTGCTAAGAAGTATGCATGTGGGCGAACGAAGACGTCTAACATTGTCGACACTCTTGGGAAAGGCAAACTTGCATGTAACATTTATTTCAAAATATCAGATTTGGTCAACTTAAAAATTGTTGAGAAATTTGTCTTTTGACACATGGTATATTTCTAACAATTAGATATTACCCCATCCCTGTGCTATTTACCACTTTTTATTCAACCAAAATTATTTCAAATAGTATTTTTCACAAGATTTTTTACCAGTAATTGGTAATGAATCATGTGCAGAAATGCAACAAAAATGACTCAGAATGCACCAGAGAGTGCCTAAAAACGAGTGGTATGTGCAGGGCTCGAAATTAACAGGAGCAGGTATCTAAAATGCGCCCGCTGGCCTCAAAAATGCCCCCCATTAATCGTAATGACTGGTGCAAATACTTACGGCTGTTCGATTCCGTGTACATTCTTGCCATTTGTTTGTACTTTTGTCATGAAAAATACCTTAACTTTTTTCTTTCACTTCGGATCTGCCTTGTCACGGAACCATAATACGGTAAAATTTTGTTTATGATGTCACCGAGCGCACACCGAAGTCTAGCATGTGATGCATGCACACACATGAAGGTACACACACACACCCATACCCGCGGCCAGTGTCACGATTGTATGGAAACTGGCCCTTCGTGCATAAATTCAAGCCAAAAGAGTGGATTCGGCTTAGACTTCGGTTTCACTAGTTCCAGTCATAGCTTGAACACGTTGGTTTGAACCGTGCTCCAAAATAGCTGGAACCAGCGAAACCAAAGTCTCAGCCTAATTCTCTCTTTTCAAAAATGCTTGATTGCTGCAGTTAGTTCCCTTTTACGTCTCCGTGCATATGCACATTAAAAAAGCCCGGTGCCCGACTTTTGCGTAGCATCGCTAAGCACGTTTGAGGTTCCAGTTGGTCGTGTACTCACTACCAAAGATCGTACATCGCCGAAGGTGGGAAGGCACTGAGGCACTACATGATCTTTGTTGTTAGTTGTATGTCACGTGCAACTCGACCACTGGGACGAATATTGATTGAGATAAATTGACTCGCAATGAGTGCATTTGTACTTTACAATCACGGCACCCATGCATTTTTTCCAAATTAAATTAAAGAGAGAAAGGACTGGGGGACAGATTTTACCGGCTCCCATACCGGCATACTAGAAGAGGTGCCTGTACACCACAGACTGTGCACCGTGCTATCGTGCATTCTGTATCCCCATCGCAGCCACACAGCTGGTTGGGGCAGCTTATGCTCTACCAACTAATCATGCTGCCTCACTGGGTCCCTACGCATGCCATGCCCAAAAAGCAGAGTTGCAATGAAACGTGAAACGTATAAATTTGTCCAAACTGGAATCCTGTGTTAAATGCCCCAAACTCTGTGATGTTCATGCCCTGTATAGCCGAGTTGTGTTAACAGATGAAATGGTAAATTGTCAGGTTGTCTCACCAGTTGAGTTGTCTCAGTGGTCTTGTTGTCCTAATTTGAGTTGGTAAACGATCAAGTTGTCTGACATCTGGGCTGCTTCCTGATATGCTTAGTGGTTGACGTAGTAACATGTACATGTACATGCTTAGACTATGAAGTACCTGGATACATCAACAAATTAACTGCATTGCATGTGGGACAGTATGGTTGGTTCATTTGCAGCGGTTTGTTGGTATGACCAGATGAAAACACAAAGACTTCTTTGGACAAGGCAAGTGTATGATGTTGAAGTGTCTATTTTATTACATAAATGCACTGTAGATATTATACCTCTGTACATTATTGTTATTATTTATTTATATAATAATATTATTAATAACACCAAGGATTCCTCAAACACGCCCTAGGCACGATAGCTCGCAAGCCTGAAGAAACCTGTAGAGAGGAATCTATGAGAAATGGTTACAATTTTCGAAGTAGGGAAAAACCCAAAGGAATAATCTGGGTGAAACCTACGGAATCAGGTAAGGACTGAAAACCCAATCCGCATGTGGACCGAGCCAGGAATTGAACCCGGACTGCAGAGGTGGAAGGCAAAGAAAGAACCACAACACCAACCTGACTCTCCTGAACGTGTACAGTACATGCGCACCTTTGCAGATAATATTGGTAGTGCAACTGTTGAAATAATTGTATTCAATCGTTGTTGTTTTATCTATCTAGAAGATACTGGCTTGGTAATTTCAAATGTTACATCTATGGCCCCTGCTCAAGACACTGCAGAAGATCCTTTAAAGGTAGGTTTTTATTATTATTAAACTGACCTTTTTTCAGCTTCACCTCCGTTATCAATAACAGGGGTATACAAGGTGTATGAAACACCTTGGTCCCCTTCAAAGGGGGCAGTAATTGTTTTGTTCAACCAGGGAAATAAATGCCAGGGAAAAAATGTATTTTATTGCAGAATGATCATTTCACTGAAATTGTTTGTAAAACAAAGTGTTAAGTTGAAACAAATTCAACTAAATTAAAAATTGGTAGGAAGTACCATCTTTTTGTGGACATATCTGAAGAAATCTTTCAGTAAGCTGTCCATTTCTGCCACTGGTAACATCTGAATAGTGGGTGTCTTCCTGTTGTGGTACAAAATTTGTAAACTATTTATACATAATTGTATTCTGTACGTGTATGTTTCTTCATGCTGATGCTGTCCTGTTAACAGTCATATGTTCAATCTGAGAAGGAGAGAAAAACCTCTTTTGAGGCAACCTGTTCAGTTGTCATCCTCTGACCATGTGATGATATTGTGGCAAAATTGGCATAGTTAAAGGGAAAGGAACACCAGTTGTAAAATTACAAAAATGGGACTAATGAATAATCCAGGAATAGTGTACTAGATAAGTAACAGTTAGTGGCAAATATCCCTCTCCTGATCTCGGTGCTTTGGTCATGCTGTATGATCATACCCTCCAGAATCTACTTGACCTACATGTACATCCTCCTGTAACCGTACATACTGTAAGAGCACTATGGAAGGGCTGCATAGCACCGTGATCAGAATATTGACAAGAATATAATATAAAATATAATATAAATCAGTGCTGTGGAATACAGTAAACTCTGGCTAAGTCGGCACTCTCGGGACTCGAGAAATTATGACGACTTTTGCGAATGCCGGCTTGTGTTGTAAGTCGTCATTTTGCTGACTTACACGTACACATGTATTTCCTATGTACATCATGATTCCATGCACTAATTCAATGGCTTTGATCTACCCTGGTTTATTTCTACCTGGTTTATTTCTACCTCCTGGGTCGATCCCTGCAAATTTGTTCTCAATTATTATCCTGCAGATTAAATAATTGATCATGTGCCCCTAAGGACGAAGCAAGGACGGCAAGCCACGTGCAAAGTTGCATATCACATCGTGACTCGATTATGTAGTACGTACATAGGACATGTATGTGATACAGTTGCGGTACAGGAAACATACATGTACACTCATCCACACACTCGCATTGGTTAAGTTCGATCCATATAGTCTGGATACCAGACCCGACGATTCTGACTAAGGGTCATCCAGGAATCTTTGGGTAGGGAACCCGACTACGTTCAATAAGGTGACCCCCCAAAATGGACAGAGCGCATGCGTGGAGCACTAGAAGGGTTACTAGTATTGATGTACTCGTGCTTGCCGCACATGCACGGAACTTGTCACTTGACACTTCTGGGAAACTGTGGCGAAGGAAACCGATACCGAAGCACAATTTTTTAAAATGTCGACTTACACAAAGGAATTTTTGTGGTTTTGTGGAAAAGGGACCAAGAAAAACATGCCGACATATATGAATGACGATGTGTAAATGCCGACTTAGAAATAAAATTTTGAATGGAAATGCGTTACAAACTATCGGGACTTTTGTGAAACGGTCGGCTTGGACCATATGACGGGTTCAACTAGACATCATCGAGCCTCTTCTCTACTGATGTCTGTGTCTAATTCTGCAGTTCCCCTTGACCTCAACCGGGAATGCACCCTAGGCATTTTGCCTCTTGTGACCCCGTCTACTACCTCTGCCATCAGGTCGCTCACCACCGGGAAAGGCAAGCGCTTCTCATCTTCATCAATACCTCGACCACCACGAATGTTGGCCTGTCAGTCCATCAAATTCCATCGCTCGCCGCCTTGGCGTCAGACCACCATCAGCCTCCACCGCCCCAGACTGGGTTCTGGTGGACCAGGCCCTTCTGCCCTCTCTGGCCTCGAGACATGGTTACATCGGGCAGGTTCCACACCAGAATCGCACCAGCCGGGCGTAGTCCCTCGGGAGCAGGCCGCTCCCCACGAGGCCGAGCATGGCTTGTAACAAGGCATTGCCCTGTTCCCGACTCGGGAACCAGCATTGTCTTCTGAAAAGAACGAAGTTGATTCCATCAATGCCCTCACTCCGTCCGCTTGCTGCCTCTGTCTTTTTCAGTGAGACATGATTCAAGTGTTCGGCCTGCCATAAGCCGCTTCGCCGCAGGAAGACATCAGCCACGACTTGTTTAAACGACATAGCATGGCTGGAATCTTCCGGGCCAATTTTCCCAAACTCCTGGTTGATCGTTCATGTGTGGAGATATTCTAGTCTCTAGCCAGGACTTGGCATGCGTCCGAGTCCGCTCCAGCCTGACGGTCCTCCCTCAAGTACCCGCTAATATACAGGCTCTTGACTATAGCATGGCCTTACTTTAGTCGAAGCAAAGTCACCGTGTCTTCGGTTGAAGATGACACAGATTTTGATCAGTGTCCTCACTGTCTATGACATATTCCAGATTCCGGATCCTCTGTCAGCCTCCCTTCCGGAGGAAGACACCGACCATGCCAGTCAACTGACAGCCCCATGTCTTGAGATACTTTTGCTATGGGGCTCCCATTCGTGAAGTAGTCTCTTCGCTTTATTGAACCGCTCCCCCTCTTGAGGCCAGAGCGGCTCCGGACAACGTCTCCCTGTTGCCTTCCCTATATCTAGGACTTCAAGCAGAACGTCATGGAGACAACTACTTTGTTGAAGACAGTGGAACAGGGTCCTTGTTTGCTTCAGTTGTCATTAGTTTCAATTTGGTAATATCCAACATGTTTTTAAACTTGAGGGATTTTTTAGTGTTAGTTTAGTGTTTAACTTCATATAATTAGCGGCTATCCAATATTGAATGTCAGCACAACATTTCTCAATACCACTCACTTTTTTTTGAACCTCATTCGATGTTGGAATAGACAAAATAAAGAGCATTGAGTCATCTGCATAGAAATTATATGTAAGGCCATGTTTTCTATTAAATGACCTGAGCTAAGGGCAGTGTATACATTTTGAAAAGCACTGGCTCTAATACTGATCCTTGTGGAACTCCATTTTCTAACAGATACTCTGAGAATCCACTCTGTCCATCTCTAAGGACTTTGATCATCTGAGTCCTATTATTAAGATGGGATTTAAACCAACACAGAGTATTATGTGTCATCCCACTGGAGTTGAGTCTTTTTAACAATATACTATGATCCAAGGCATCGAAGGCAGCACTGAGATCAAGAGAAACCACAATTGTTATCTTGCCACCGTCAGTATTTAAAAGAAGTTTATTTTGAATGTACGTTAAAGGCATCTGTTCCATGAAAACTACGATATGCTGATTGAAATTTTTCATTCAAATCGTACTCAAACATGTGACAGGTTTACTGATGAGCAACAACCTGTCTAAAATTTTACTGGTTAAAGGCAAATTTGTAATAGGCCGATAATTACTAAGATTTTCAACACCGTCAATAAAAGAATTTGTGCTTAAAAATGGGAGTACGGTAACAAGAGCCGACTGTAATTGTTCCGGAACTAGCCCAGTAACAATAGATGAATTTATGATTAATGTAGGTGATTCCAGTAACTGTGGAAGAAGCATTTCTAACAATTTGGTAGGAACAGGATCCAAGTCACAAGTCTTTGAAGGAGACTGATGCACAATTTTTCAGTACAGCTCATTAAGATATTACAGTGGCATTTAAACCAATGGCAACAAACTTCGCACGGCAGGAAAATGCATTTTCTGAATATTTTTGAAGTAAATGTTGACCCCCATTGAAGGCTATGGAAACTTGGGATTCTAGTGCTTTATAAAGGGGGCTATTTTGCATATGAATCCTTTCACTCAGATCTCAGAGACGAACACAATGGCCCTGACAGACCACCAAAAAGGCATGATCAAAGCTTGGCATGGAAAAGAAATTTGAAACGAGAGATAGCTAGGCGTCTTGGCATCAATGACAACACCGTCAGGACTAATTTAAAGGAGCTGGTGGAAAGAGAATCCATGGCAAGTCTCCCCAAATCTGGCCGTCCAAGGTCCACCAGTGCGCAGGATGACCGATTCCTGGTGCGGACATGCCGCCGGAACCGTTACTGCCCCAAGCTGCGAATGGAACTCGCCTAGACTGATGTCGACGTCCGTCACTCCACTGTGTCTTGTGGCCTAGCAGCAGCTGGCTTGAATGGTCGGGTAGCAAGGCACAAGCCCCACTTCACAGCAACCCGCAAAGCAAGGCGTCTAGCCTGGGCCCGTGAGCATCTGGCATGGATGGCTGATGACTAGAGCCGCTTTCTTTGGAGCAATGAGTCACGGTTTTAGTTGTATCAATCAGACGGTCACGTTTATGTCAGAAGGCTGGTGGGGGAGGAGTTTTCTTAGAACTGTGTGGTTCCGTCAATAAAGAATGGAGGATCTGGCATCATGGTTTGGGGCTGTATGAGCTCAGCGGACACTGGTGCGCTGACACAGGTCGCGGAGAACATCAACGCCGGTGTTTACGTCGATATTCTCCATGATCACATGCTGCCTTCTGCCCATGGTTTGATCGGCCTTGACTTCCTGTTTCCGCATTACAATGCCCCCCACACACTGCAAGAATTACACAGGAATTCTTGGCTGATCCAACCCCCGATTTCCTTAATGAAATCCAGGCCAGCCCAGAATCCTGACCTCAATCCATTGGAGAATCGGAGGCCTGAAAGTAAGGAGGAGCCATTCCAAACTCTCCAGAGGATTTGGGATGGAATGAAATGCCATTTCATCACCAATCTCTTGGCTTCAATGCTAAGAAGGTGTCAAAGCCTTATCGATGCTCGTGGAGGTTTTACATGCTACTAAACTGATCCAGGTCCTTCATGTTTATTGGCGTGCCATGGGGCACCGCAATCTTGGATTTTGCCACGTCCCCCATTGACTTTGTACACACAGAAAACAATTAAGTTCATTTTTTATCATT